CTCCACTGCTGCTGTGTAGTTACCTTTGGTGCCCTCTGTACTCTGCTTTTTTGTGACCTGTGGTGTGGGGCTGGACTTCTTTAACTATGGTCCACTGCTACAAACAACATGTTGTTATTATTAAGGTGGGGATTGTCTTTCAATCTTCAATTACCTCTGTATTTGATTACTTCAGTCCCAAGGGACTTCTTGTGGTGTGAGGAATTTTTCAATGTCAGCTGGAAAAGTGGATGTGTGCTTACTGAATCCGTGTGAGGTGAAATCCATGGCCCTCACACCCAGATCCCAAGCCATGCCCATATTGCAGTAAATGATCCAAAGCACAGTCTTTTCCATCTGCTCTGCCTGCCTGTGTATGCCTTACTGATCACTTCTAGTGGCCTCTTAGACAATGCTAACCAACATACCCACCTGCTAAAGGACTTCCATCAAACTCAGGCTCTGGGAATGATTTAGACTTCAGCCCAGACATGGAAAAACAGATGGATCTATTTTTAGTGTGATAGTCCATTGAGAGGCAATGATGCCAATTTCAGCATGATGAGTCTCTCCAAGCTCTGGAGCTGACTGATTCATGGTAGGGGGTTCCTGTATGTGTGGGCAACATGGTCTTTGTGACATGTCATCTTTGAACACGTCTGGAATTCCCACGGTTATTGCATGGGAGCAGTTCACAGCAAGTGAGTCTGATGAAGCCCGTAAGAAAGATCGAGGACTGAGGGGCAGCAGGCATAGAGGACATGCAGGGACTTGTGCACGGGGTAGCCATGCCTTAAAATCACATAAGTAACTCCCTTCATGTTTCCCTTCCCTCTTTACATGCAAGTTGAGATCTCCATTCATCCACCTGAGAGCCAAGATCACAACGACCAGAGATTCCTAAGGAAGGGGGACAAAGCCCCCGAGTCCTCACTACCAAGGCCAGCACTGTGCTGTGCTCCCTTTGCCCTGGGCACACTACAGCAACCCCATCAGGCTGAGGGTTCCCCCTTGCCCAGTCCCTGTCAGAGCTGACAATCAGCTCTGTGGCTGTGCTGCCTCACAGTGGAGGGGAGACAGTCCCACGGGAGAAGGCTTGTACCTGGAGCAGCCCCCCTGTGCACCAGGCACATCCCTGAGGAGCTCCCGGGCAGATCCCTGGACAGAAGGCTCATACATCTCGCTGCCTGGCATCCTCTGCCCCTTGTTAATCTGGGGGAGCACCCCTATCCCTGTCAGGCTTCTGCTGCCTTCATGGTATTTTGCAGCTCCCAGCCCCACTCCTGCCTCAGTCCTCCTAACCACTCACACTGCTGTCAGCAAAGAAACTCACCGGCAGCTGAGAAGTGCTGAGATCGAAGGTATTTCTTGCCTTGGGGCTTAGATTTGGAATTACTGCCTTGACCTTAATCTCAGCTCTCCTGATGTCCCCTCTGCCTAGTTCCCTGTGACATTCTTTGTTTAGCTTTTACTATCCCCCAAAGATCATGCATTTCAATCATACAATTAGAAATAATACTATTAGTAATAGGAAACAAAGATTTAACTTGGGAGCTTTCTTTCCTCTGGATTTTGAGTCAGTTTCTGCATGTTTTTCTCTGCAGTTTTCTGAGCTAGAAATGTGTTTTCATGGAGAATCTTGCATAATCACGTGGTTCTGGGAGCTGGACACCAATCTCTGGGAGCCCTGCTGTGGAACTGGAGATCAAATGCATAAAAAATAAATGTAATTTTGATAGTTCTTGTTATTACAGCTTAGTTTAAGAAAAACACATGGGTTTTCAACATATATATATATATACACTTGTCTATCTATGCATGCATCCTGATCACACATCTCTGCCAAATACTGTGTAAACTGTCACAAGCTCAGCACACATTGCTCAGCCCACCCCCTTGGAGAGCAGAGCAGCACTGGGATGGGGACTGATCCCAGCTGTACAGAGCTGTGCCCCACTCCTGGGGGATGGCCAGCCAGGAGCCCCTCACACGTGCTGCCACAGGGAGCTGGTATTAGTCCACATTTTGGAAAGCCTCTAAAGTTAGTGTCAAACAGGTGACAAATAAGAGAAGGGAAGTTCATGATGACATGTTGGGAGGTTGCTTTCCTGAGCGAGGGGCTGGGGTGAGGGCTTGCAGGTTTCAGGGAAAGCAGAAATCACCAGCAAGTCAGAGTGATAGAGGTGCTGTAGAGGTCTGTGAGATCCCCACAAGTGCATCAGATGTGTTTCTACTTATCCATTTTCTGCTTAAGATTGCCTTTGCCACGGAGGTATCAACCTCAGCCCTCTTCCCCAGTATCATCTCCACATCATCCCACACCACCATGTGTGATGAGTTTTATTAACACTTGATGCCCGGATGAGAGCTCAGCCCCCCCCCCCCCAGCCATTGCCAGGCACAAGGCACAGCCTGGGCAAACGCCAGGATATCCTGGCTCCAGGATAAATGCAGTGTCTCTCCAATTGTGCCAGCAGTAAGAGGATCCCCAGGAGGGGCTGTGAGTACAAAGGCTCCTCAGCAGCCCCTCTGCTCACCCTCTCTGCTGGTTCAGCCTGCAGCACTGCAGCTGTGCACCAAAACCTTCTGGGGCTGGCTGGTCTGATGTGGGACAATCGGGGCACTGCACTGCTGAGCCTTGGCATTTGTGCTGGGGTGAGAAATTCCTGGAGGAGCAGACAAATGTTCAGCAGCGTGTTGATCCCTCTGATCACAGAGCATAAAGCAAAACAGGCCAGCTGTTGATTTGTGTTCACTGCAGCTCTGGGCTCTCCCCGGTCCCCTTCAGATCCATGTTGTGGCTATCATGCTTTTCTTGTTCAAACAGTAAAACTTAATGGTGCCCTTTAATGCCCACCTTGCAGGGGGCTGGCTGCAGCCTGCCTTGCACAGGGAGCAGCCTGTGCAGTGGTGGGGTCCTGCTGTCCCCTGCCGGGCATCCCCAGCACGGCTTGCAGTGCTGCCCCGGGTTTGGAGACTGCAGAGGGCATCATTTCCTGTTTTAGCAAAGGAAGAGGTGGCATACTTCAGATTTTCTCTTTAGCTCTGCTGGTATTGTGACTTCAGACAGCCCTGTGCCATGTTTTTCCTCGGCTCAGGAGCGGAGGGAGGTCTGCCAAGCTCGCCTCAGGATGCTGTCAGTACATTCAGACTGGTTTGGAAAGCAGTGGGCCTCTGGGGATATAAGGCAGAGTGAAACTTGCTGACTGTAAGGAGATATTTTGTACCCAGTGAACCCACAGCTGCAGTTCACTGGTGCTTCCAACCGACTGGGTCCATCTACCATCAGCCTGCTCTTGTGACAGTCCATTTCCTCTCCGTGGCAGGTGACCTGGTGGAAGGAGGGCACAGGTAAGTGGCACCTGGCACGGCTGCTGAACAGGGCTACTTGACATGGTGGTTATAGCTAAGGGCTGTAGCTAAGGAGAGAAGAGGAGGTGAAATACCAGAAAGAGATTTCCAGAACATTGTCCAAGGCAGGTTGGGAACTGTTTTTATACTTTGGGCAAGCCAGGTTAAGCATGTTCCCACAGGTTTCTTCTGGAGCATGGTTAGTGGTACCCTATGCCCCAGGATAGGATTTCCATTATCTGCAGCACTCTTGCAGCATCACCATTTTGCAAAGACAAACATGAGGTGAGTGTGCTGCTCCCCTACATCCTTACTGGGGCAGCCAATCCAGATGCTGCCCTGTGGCCTTGGTCACAGAAGAATGGCCACGGTGGTCATGCCACAGCAAAACTGAGTTGAGCAAAGTGTGAGTAGGGAGAGATGAAGACAGAGACTAACATGACCACGAAGCCATAACCCTGGGATAATATCCTCTCAAATCAACCCATACATCAGGGGAAGCAGACTGTAAATGTGAATCCTGGCTAGCAGCCAAAGTGCAAATGGTAACCCTCTGTGCAAGAGTAGTGGTTTAATGTGCTGTGAGGACCACTGCTGTTACATGTCCCAGAACAATCTGTGCTGGTGCATAGGTTTTGCAATGTTGGTTACAGGCTATTAAACCCCTCTAAGCTCAGAAGTTGTCAGTCCTCTTCTGACTGTCTAAACTCATTCCTAAAACTGCACTAAAACACACCTTCATTAAGGATATCATCTCCCCACTTGAACAGAGGCAGAAGGGTCTACTGAGAAAAATCAAGTTCATGTGAGGTTGCTTTGTAGGAGCACTAGCCAAAAAAATCCTAAATGGAAAGAAGGACCTACTAAATGTGTGTTGATACAAATGAAGTCTGAGGATACCAGTTCACTCCATGCTACCTTGCTGGGCACTGGAGTGAGAGAAACACATAGTACACCCAGGAAGAGTGAGTGAAGGCTTTGTGCTGCTCCAGGCTAAGGGTCTCTCCACATGGGGGACAAGGACCCTCAGGAAGGCTAATACAGGCCCACTCAGAGGATGGAGGCTGGGCAGCCAAAGGAACACGGGGAGGAGATGCAAGGTTTAAATTGTTAATGTATTAATCTGCCTTTTCCAAATAAATTCTGTTCCTCCATAACCATCACCACTGGCACCCATACATTTACATTTATTTAAAACCCTGGGGCATGTTGCTTTCCAGAAAGGAAACACTGCTGTCAAGGGCACTTAGACAAAGTCATTAACTTTCTGGGTGAGAGCTCAGTGAAGTTTAATAAGAGTGCCAGGCTAAGAGCTGAGCATGCTGCACTCCCATGTTGGCTAAGGGGATCCCCAACTCAGGAGGAGGCAGCAGCTTGCTGCCTTGAGCAGTGCAAGGTGCTGCTGAAGGATGGGTGGTCATAGCTCAGGGCTGCACTGTTTTCTGCATCTCCAAGCCTAAGCTCATGGCTCTAAGTAATTCTGAAAGACTCTTATGTCTTCCTTTCCTCTATTTGCTTTTAAACTACTTTTCTACTTTTCACATTTGTAAAGAGACACCTTCAATTCAATACATCAGTGTTAAAAAAAGAACATGACAGCAAGGAAAAAAGCATCCAGACTGCACAACCTGAAAGAACTTGTACAACCTGTACAGCCTGAGAATCCCTGAGATTTGCTCAGTTGGCTAGAGCATGGTGCTAATAACACCAAGATTGTGGGCTCAATCCACATATGGGCCATTTACTTAAGAGTTGGACTCAATGACCCTTGTGGATTCCTTCCAACTCAGAATATTCTGTGAATCTGTATTCTGTAAACTCCGGGGCCTTTAAGCTGTTTTGGTGATTAGTGGAGGGAGAGAGTGCTCCTGGAGCCTGCAGCAAAGGACCATTAGAGGGCATGGGGGCCACCCAGGCAATGCCCAACCATAGCAGGCAGGGCAGCAGGTACCCCAGCTGGGTTTTCCCTCAGCCTTTATGTGACCTTCCCTGTTGGCTGCCTCTGATTTCCACTCTCTTGAAAAGGAAGGCTCCCCACTGAGGCACCAGTTGTGGAACAACAGGTAGTTCCATCAAACACGCGAGGTGGTGCAGGAAGACAAGAGAAAATGGGAACACCCAAAGTGTGACAGTGACACAAAGCAAAGATATGACTTGGGTTTGCACCATTCAGCATTGCCCCTCAGGATGCTCTGGAAACCCTTCTCCTGTGGGCCTTTCCATTTTTCACATGGAAAATGTGCACTGTGACCAAACCTTGTCAGGATGGTCTGCTGCAAAATCTCTGCCACTTACAACCTTGTGAATGTTCAAAAAACCAGTATCAGCAGTTATTTACAGCAATCATGAACCCATTCCATAAGCTCAGGCATTTGGCTGCACTGGGAAAATACCAGTTGGAAATACAGACCAAGAACCCATGGAAGAGAAGCTGTTACTGTGTCCTTGGCACAAGTCATCTCTACTCCCAGGACAAGTCAGTACAACACACACTGGCCAGGCTCAGCTTTGTGGTGTCAGGCAGGTGAGAAGGGATCACAGGGGGACAGGTTCAGCTGGTTGCTCCCTCCCTGTAGGGCTGGCTGTGTGTGAGTTGAGCGTGACTCACCCAGTCCCTTGCTCACAGCAGCTTCCCATCCAGCACAGCAAGGGGCAGGGGCTGCAGTGACTCTCCAGACTGCAGCTGCAGCACAATGTGAGCTCACTGACCTGGGAACCCATAGCCCTGCAGGCACCTCACGTCCGTGCTGCCCACTGGGACTGTGCTGTGCTCACATGACCCTCCTGCTGGGACTGCCATGCCAAGACTGCCATGCTGCTGCACACACCACCTCTTCCCTGAGTGGCAGCAGGTGGAGATCGATGGTGACCTCCAGAGACATCTCTTGTTCAAGCACAAAAGACTGTGGGGCTGGGGTCCAGAACAGCCAGTGTTTTCTTGTCTTGTCCTTCAGACATATGTAGGGCTGCCTCTCTCCTGAGGCAGTGTGTCCTGCAGGGACAAGCCAAGGATCCTCAGGCTGTCTACCAAATCTAAGGCAAAGAGATCAGAGTACCTGTGCAGCTCATTCCACATGTTATGACACTTGTGAGACCCCGGTGCTGTTCAAATGGCTCTGGTAGCTACAAAACAAAAATGCACTTCACTGGGGTTCCCAAAAAAAGATGGGGCCAGATTTCCCTTGCTATGGCTGTCCCAAGTCTGTGGGACCCCTGTGAACACGTTTGATCTTGTTCCTGTGGTTGCACATCAGCACAGACGCTTCCCAAGCCGTACTGGTTGGAACCTGGGTGGTGAGCAGCAGCCATGGCCGGGGGCTCAGCTGCAGGAGGCAGTGGCCTGGGGTGCCCCTCGTGACTCGCCAGAAACGTGCTGCTCTCTTGCCAGGAGCAAACATCGTCATCCTCACAAATGGTTAACCTGCCGGGAGCTGCACAGCACTAATGACTTCACATTCGTTTAATCAGCTTGGGCTTCCAGAGCCTCCACCTCAGGAGCAGGGAAGGCCGTGCACCCATGCACTTGGGGTACAAACGCTCCCAAAGCCGCACCCCTGCCTCACCAATCATTAATCACCCCGGGCCGGGAAGGAGCCAGCAGCCAGCAGGAAAGGGCCGGGTCTCCACAGCCCCCACGGGAGCAGCAGGAGCAGCGCTGACCAGTTCCCTGGGGTGGCAGCTCATTGCCCGGCCACCCTCCCCTGGGAGGCCCTGTGGAGGTGGCCAGTCCTGCACGCACTGCCCTTTCCTCCAGGAAGGTCACTCAGTCCAGGACACGAGAGGCTCTGCCTGTTTCTGGAGCTGCTGGGCTACGCCTGACGTGGGGGCTCTGAAGAGGAGTTTGTGCCTGGCTGTACCGCAGTCTTCATCTCTTCGCCATGCAGCACAAGGCATTTTGGAGTGCCCTGGAGTATACCTGCCGATTGCTGGGCATCTCCACCGCAGCAGGTAAGAGCAAATTCTCTTTGTCTTTGGGACTAAAAGGCACGGAGTGGATGCTCCAGGCAGCCTCCCTGCCTTTGGCCAGCTGCAGCACGGCCCCATCCTATGAGGGGGACAAGGAAACTTGCTCACTTTTGCTTTGGGACCCAGGGTGGGAGAATGCTGAGTGCCTGGCCAGGCTCTTTCCAAATGCTGTGGGAGGCACAGTGAGACATCAGAAAGGAAGGGCCAACATTCAGAGGACAAGCTAAAGCACACATACACACACCAAAAAAAAAAAAAGAAAATAAGAACATTAAACTGTATTCTTCTAAAGCAGACATAGACATGGGCAAGATGTGAATGAGACTGAAAAGCAAAATATTCATGGCTGTGCAAAACTGCTGGGCTACACTGTGGGATGTGAGTAGGAAGGAGGAGCTCCTTGAAGTGTGCACAGTGAGATGTCCTGTGCCAGGTAGGCTAGAGAGGTTCTGTCCCAGCCATCATGGCATAGTTACTATAAAAGCACTGCTCTGCCTCTCTAGCAGCCTGTCAGGGAGCAGCTCAGAGCAATTCAGGTTATAGCTGCAGAACAAACTCCATAAATTCACCCACCTGCTCCCTGGTGAGATCCTCTCACCTGCTGCCAGGGGCTGCTTTGGGCCAGGGTGTTCTGGGTTTGGTGACACACCCAAGAGCTTGGTTTCAGATGAAAGGCAGGTGTTTTGAGCCAGGTGTCAGATACAGTGTCTCACTCACGAAGATGGAACACCATCTCACATGGAGCATCTCCAGATGGGACCTGGGGAATCAGCTAAAGCAGAGGGCTCAGGGGTTGACTCTGGCACTGCTGCTGACTAGGTGTTATGGGACAAGACAGGCAGCACTCTCTGCCTCAGCTTCCCCATGAGTAAAGCAGAAATCAAAGGGTCTGACATGTCTAAAGGCTGAAGGGGTGACCCAGAGGTTCCTGGTGAGAGGTGACTTGAGGTAGTACCTGTGGTTCCTGTTTCAGAGCCCCAGGGATTTCAGAGTCAGACACTAAAGAGTAAATCACAGCAGGCCCTCCTACCTTTGTATTTCCTTTATCAGCTGCAGACAGTCATGAAGAGACACTTCACTCAAACCAGGGACAAAGTAGAAAGCACACAGGTCAGCTGAAGTGTGCACACGTTCCCAAGGACACAGTTGGGGTGATGGAGGCCCTGGAATGTGCTTTAAGGACTGATACTGATAACAGGCAGAGATCTGAGTCTCTGAGTTTGTACAAACTCCAGTAGATAAGTCCATGTCATGATGATACTACAACAGTGGGAGATGGGACACAGCTTTTATCAGAAAATGCAGATCTCTTCATCTCTTCATCCCCATCCCTTTGGGCCTCCATGAACCTCACACTGGTCATATTCTCACTTAAAACTCCAACGAAACTCATAGAGACCTTCCTGGGAGAAAATGTGAGCTTGTTGCCATGAGAAAACTGACGCTAAAACAACAAAATTGAAAGTAGTTTGCAATGTAGAAATGTGTTAATGGAATATCATCATTCTCTCCTGCATGTTTTCTTTTCATCATTTTGCAGCATTTGCGCATCTTTCTTTAATTTTTCTTTAAATGAGCACTGAAGTTATCTGTCTGCTTAGTGTCACAGAGCATAGAGAGCTGCACTGCAACTCACTGTGCTTTTCCATAGCTCTGATGCATTCCCAGTATCACCTGACTTTCCCAAAAGGCCCATGAAGAATGGGATGTGCCTGTGTTTTATTCCTATGTGTGTTTCAATGGAGTAAGAAATCAGCTTGATGCAGTGTTTAGTGCCTGATGAGGTGTGTGAGGCTTTTGAATGAAATGGAAACGATGCAGAAGAAATTCCCATGGGTTTTGTTTGAAAAAAAAAACTATGAAATGGAGAGTGCATCAGCCTCACTAATTGATTCTGAGAAGGCCTGGCCAGCTCCTTATGCTGCTAGTAAATACAAGTTACCCACATAATATAAACCCCTCCGTCCCCCAGGATCTTGAAGTGTAATGGCTCTCTGCAATGGTGAGGCTACAGGGCTTCCTTTGTATCAGAAAATGACTAATTTGTCTTATGGCAAGTTAGCAAAGACTTGTCAAATAGCCCTGTGATTTGCTGTAGTGTTTGCAGCATCTCTAGTTCAGTGATTCTAGGCCTTGTGATTTTTGCATCTAGGAAAGCGTTCCTACTTATTTCTTAATTCTCATGCTTTCAACCATTTAATTCCTAATCATGTGCCTTTAGCCACATGGTTTGGACAAGATCCAAATCAAGGCAGTGACTAGGCCAAACAAACACCTCGAAACAGCTCTTTTCTTCTTGCAGATTCTTCATCCAAACAGCTTTGTGGATAAAGCAGAAGCTATGCAAAAGGAGGAAATCTCCCCATCCAGAGCAGAGGCTTGAGCTAACAGTCAAGCTGTAGAATTCTACATTCATCCACAGAGAATGAATGAATGAATGAATTAATGAATGAATGAATGAGAATGAATGAACTCCACATTTGTAGGGAAGATTAAAAAGAATGGTCCTCAGTCACAAGACAGTAAAAGATAGTACTTTGCATGTAGGATTAAACAGCTCCTGCAGCTTCACAGCCCTCTGACAAGACTGATTTCTCTGTGCTCTTCTCAGGGCTGGAAAGGCAGTGTAGAAGGGTAGCACATGGGCCCCATGTGCTCCCTTGGCTGACAAGGGCCAGTAGCTGCAGGAGACACAGGGAAAACACAGAGGGATTTCTCTCAGCCCTGATGGGAAAGCTGACCCTTGGCATTGACCTACACCGCAGTCTCAACGG